GCAGCAACTTAAATAGCGGCCCTCCCCCCAGGGGAGGGTACAAGCATAAACCAATCAGGGAAAGAGATGGGCGTTACATAGGGAGGAGTCATGGATACACAGAGCCAATGGGGTAAACCGAGGGTGGGGATACATACAGTACAACCAATCATTGATACAACAGGGAATGATTGACATGGAAACTTCTAGAACAAAGGGAGGGGCTACAAGGGATTGACGCTCACTGGGGCAGGGCTTAGGGTGAGGGACAGGGAAGGTTCCAGATAAAGGGGAGGATGACTGACTAGGGCAAATGCAGGAAAGGGAAAAACCATTTTACAATAACAAGGGGTACAACAAGGGGAACAAACCATTACAACATGAACACATTACAATTAAATAACATTCAAATAAAACGCGAACCGCAACAAATTTTTAGGAATTTCTCTTAGATTTTTGTTATTATATATAGAAGAGAGCTCAGTCTGTCAGTGTGTCCTGGGGTACAATGCAAAAATGTGTATTCTATCACCATCTGTTGAAATGTGGGAGGGGTGGTGATCCTTATCTCTGTGGGAGATATCCTCTGCTGATGTGCCATCTGATAAGATCAGGGGGATGATCATCGTTATCTTTTCACAACCCATCCTTCCTCCAGAAGATATATTCTGTTAATGGGTCATTAAGTCCTATTGTGTGACTGATAAGATTACATCATCCCATTGGGAGATGCTCCAACCAGGGGGAGGAGCCAAGCCTTTCCTACCTAGATAAAAAACTGGGGTTTGGGACGCGAAGGCAGACCTTTCCACTGGATCCCAGAGGAAAGTTGGACCATTTCCACATCATCGCTGGATCTTTGGAGGAAAACTGCACCTTCTACAGGAGCACTGCTTCAACTGAACCACATCTGTCATCCAGGAGGACTGCAGCCACCATTTAATGGGACTGCTACCAACACCCTGACTGACAGGGTGTCAGGTTGTATTTCTGACTTTGTTGGTGGTTTTTTCTTTTGTATTATTGCATGTATTTTATTTCTCTTTTTTCCTATTAAATTGTATTACTGACTTGGAGTCTCTCACTGGTTTTACTTTCAAACCAACACACAGTGTTAAGGACTATGTGTTGATTTGTTTTTTTCACTTTAAGAAATGAAATACCAAAACCCAAATAAACACACAATTTAATATTTCTGTAATAGGTAAATTGTTACACAGGAAGCCAGTTACTCTAAAATGAGTCAAGTACTTATTTTTGCACCAAAATATGTTTTGGACACAAGATGGTATCTGTCCCTCATGCAATCTACTGATGTGTATTTTCCTCCAAGGCTTATGGTAATGGCTACAAACAGATTAGCAATAAGTTGAGTCATTCTAACCTTACCAACATTACTTCTCATTGGGCAAATTCGGAGGAATATATACACATGCAACTGCTCCCTGTGAGAACAACATGTACAGGAACACCACAGAGGATATTGTTTGTTCTTCCCTGTTCCACGTTCCTCTGAAATACAGCTGAAGCAGCAGCCAGCCCACAAACATGCATTAGGACTACTGCTACTTATTAAAATGAAATATTGCTTTTTTTTTTTTTGTAAATTGAGCTCAAATTAAAAACTGGAACAAAGTTAAGGTGAACAAGTACTTTTTTTCTATCTAGGTTCTAAATAAATTTTAAAAATGTGGAAAAAAGTATCAGTTAGGAACTGGCATTGTTGTTCCTGTCAAAAACTTCTGCCATCACATATGTAAACAGAAAAACTATTGAAGTCAAGGTCCTCACTGAAGTCTAGTCTTTGCTCTAATGAATTCCCCAAATAGTTTCATACTAAATTAGGGCACCATATTTAAAATGTTATGATTCCTTTAAAGGAAACTATAAGACTCAAGAGGTCCTGGTGAGAAGAGTACAGAAATGCTGAAAGAAGACAATATTTAAACATATTTTTAGCCATAACGTATCCTAATCTCATGGGCTCTTTGTAGTATGTCTGGCCTGTTGTGGCTACTGTTAGCTGTGTTTATGCACTTTAGACTGGATCTTGTGAAAAATTAAATAAAACATTTATTTTCCATAGCACTTAATTTTCTCTCTTGTGAATGTCTCTAGGCAGCATAGGATATATTTCATGATGAGCTACCTGCTCAATCTTTTGCAATGGCTGTTCAAAGTTTCCTCTGAAGTCTACTTTTAGGAATTTTGTTTTCTATGGTGATCTACTGATTGTCCTGTTGATAAGACATGTAACTGTTAGCACCAACAAAATTAAATTTAGAATTCCACATCTTTCCCTAGATTTTTTGTGGTATATATCAGAAACCTCTCTGTCAATACTGCTTTCCTTTCTAAAAATGTGTATTCTTCAGTTAGGAATTCCTGGTCCATACTGCATCCTATTTGTGATCTAATACTTTCAGGCTATGCTTCAGATAGGGCTTTTCAGTTTTGTGATAAACTGGACAGTAAGAGAACACTGAAACTACATTCTCCTTTGGCTTCGTGTAGTCTGTGACACAACCACTCTCAGTGGAACTCTCTGTGAGTGCTGATTTGACCCAAGATCAGTAAATAACCAGGTGCCCACTTGGAGGAAAGAATCAGGGGAAAGAGAAAACCAGAAAATGTGTACTGTCATTGGTCTGATATCTTGAAGCCTAAGCAGGCAGAGTGTTACTGTCAGGCATTACTTCTAGAAAGCAAAGTAGCTCTAACCTCTGCACACATCTGAGCAGGTAATGAAGCTGACGGTTTTGCAAAATACAAATGTTATGTCTGCAAGCAGGTACACGTTTCTGTTGCACACATGGAATAGGGCCCAAACCATTTAATTATGTAATGCAAGTATTTGTTCACTACTCACAAGCTGCTGTTCATTTTTCAACACGACTCAAAGTGAGAAGTCATATTTGGGTATATGAGGGGAACAAAACTGATTGCAGTTTTTTTTTCAGAGAATCTATCAGACTTTGTCTCTACATTTCTCCTATTCCTTCCCCTAAAGGCCCAGTATTATGATTAGAGATTCAATAAAGGGATTTTTATTTTTCATAAAAATATAGAAATTTGTTATTCTTTGACAACTGTTGTAAACAGATTTGCAGATAATCTAAAATCTGTATAAGACTAAGAGAGGAATGGAACTAGCTTGAACAAAAAGCATCAAGAAACAAAACAATTAATACGTTTGGTAGCAGCCCCCTCTCTTAAAATACTGCCTTTTATTCACAGCCATCCCTCAGTTCCCCCTACTGGAAATTCCTTCTTGGAATGCACTCACTTGGAGATTTCAGTAAGCCTTTTTGTCATCAAATGTGTATGACTGACTGCTATGCTGGTTTTTGTTTTCTTTTAAAACGCAAGAGTCAGTTTAAAAAGGTCTAGAGTAAACAAAAGTGCTTTACTCCTGATGGGCAGAATTCAATGTGCAAAAAGGGGCACACTAAAACTTCGCCAGCCTGAGACGAAACACAGGTAACTTTTCTGGGAGAATGCTTGCTCCAAATTTTGTTTTTTTGTTGTTTTGATTCTAACTGTCCACTCTGTGAAGACAAACAGGATTGTATTTACGATCAGTCACTTCTCCTAATCAGTCACTTCTCCTAATATAAATAAATACATAAATAAATCACAAGGTTCCAGATATTGATTTATTACTTAGATTAGAAGTGCTAAGATTGTGCAATTCCTTTGCTGATATCAGGAATGAGATGATAAGCTCTTTACTCTTTGCACTGAATCTTAGGTTAAAAACAGAGACCTTCTAGGCCTTGGCTTCAGCCTCTCCTCAAGATCCCTTTCTCTTCTTTTAACGTCTGTGATAAGGCTGAAAATCAGCATCAGTACAGAGTGACTTCACTGTCTGGGAAGTGCTGTTACACTCATCACATCCCACAGAGATCTTCAGTGAGTATTTCTTACTGGAAAGATACAGAAGAGTTGCAACACAAGAGACAGGGAAAATCCTTTCAGATTTGGTTTTGAGGATACTGAGTCATTCTGTTTTATAAAGATAATTATAATTTTTGTTTAAAGACTTCTCTAAAAGTTTGCGAAGACATTTTACACATCTTGTAGTGAATATCAGCTTCCTGACCATAGCCTTCCTGTTTTAAAGCTTTTGGAAGTATCACACATCCTCAGGGAATTACAAGTTGATCACAGCTTTATTTATAAAGAGCGAGTAAATCCGTTTCAAAACAGAATGTTTGGCGTCTTTCAAAGAACTTGTTTAAATGAAATTGTGTCTCATGACAAACAAAAGAGCATATTCTACATCAGTAAATCCTATGAAAATCAGGCAGGTATTTGTATACATGTAGCTGCAGGAGAGGTTTCCCATGGTGCTCCTTCTAAAGCCTTGGCAGAACAAGGTGTATTTGACCCTTTACCCTGTCTGTAGTAAGTACAATTTTAGGACTCATTATTCTAATGATAACTTGAGAGGCTATATTTTTCCTTAATTGTAATTAACCAGAATTTGCTTCCAACTTTGCTGAAATTATTAGTTTGACCTAGGCGTTCATCCTTCTGAAACAGACAAAGTATTTTGTTGAGCATCCACTGAGGCCTGGATGTCAGTCAGTGGTGCCTGGCCTGGGGACATGAGTGGACAGACCCTGCAGGCACTGGGGTTCCCCACAGAGCTTCTTGCTGTGGCACACAAGTCAGCTTGTCCAGGGCCATGAAGAGGTGGTCCCATGGCTTGGTGAGATGTCCAGCAGGGAGGGCATAAAGGGACAAGAGAGGGAAAAGTTACACTCAGCAGAGGTGCACAACCTGAAGCACCTGAAATCCAGGTGGCAGCAAGGACATGCAGTCAGCAATGGAGAGATGGAAGCTCTGACTTATTGGGAGGTACTCTGAAACTGTACCTGGAAAATGTGAGACTTATCAGCCTAGAAGAGAGATGAGTAAGGTAGTAGTGCAAGGAATCTGTGTTACAAATCTGTAAAACAAGGAGTGGCATGGAGAGAGATAAGAGAGAATGGTTAACTAATGCAAAAGTCAGGGGATATGATAGGGAGATCCCAGACAGAAGGCACAGAACATATAGAAGTGATTTCCATCCAGCATGAAGTTAGACTGTGGAACAACATCAAGCTATAGATGCTGGAAGCTTATAGGACTAAGAAAGCAATTGGATTTCTTTTCCATTGTCTATCAAGAGCAGAAACAGGCTACTTCTAGCTAAATGTCTCAAAGTTGCAGAAGTCCTCATCTTTCCAGGAGATGGCCAGCTACTCTTTTGAACAGCATCGTGTTCTACCTTGGGCATTGCTCTGATCCACTGTGGCCATTCCCGTGCTTTAGCTGGCTTAGGCAGAAGACATGCTTCCTGACCCACCAGGAGGATACATCAAGGTAAATCTATACTCACTTAATTCAAAATCTAAGACTATAAGAAGTACAAAATAGCTGAAAGGAATTGCAAATAGATTTTCTTGCCTATTTACTGTATTTGACAAAGATTTAGAAAAGAGGCTGTGTCAGTGTTCTAATTGTGAAAAAAAACTGTAGCAAGTTGGTTTGCCCAACTTTTTCTAAGTATTTAGCTTGTGCAATCTAGGTTGTCTTATAAGTGATGATGTGACATTAAGAAAAGCAATGAGGTTTGAGACAAATTAGAACAAAGTGAGAATGTAACAGACTGCCCCAAGTGTCATACAGTCCAAACAGAGCAAAACCCACAGTGATTCAGCTCAGCCTCTATCCAAGGAAGTGATGCGCTTTTTGCTACTCTGAGAATTATTAAATGTAACATCCACATTGCATGTGCAGTTGTTGCCAGAACATTTTAGACTCCTGCAAGATGTTGTCTTTTATGGCAGCAAACTTGCTACCAAATATAGCAATGGCTACATAACGTATGCCAATTTTGTTTTTTTTCACACTCTGACCCACTCCATATGGGTGCAAGGGAGAATTCTGCTGGGCTTCTGTACCACATTGATGGAACATAGAATGTTTTCTCTTCCTTTACATGCTATTAAGAAGTGGCGTTTTCAGAAGCAAGTTATTTTGTGCCAGTTCTCTTCTGAAGAAGCCTCAGACTCCAAAACAGCTAAAACCATCTGGCAAACTCTTGCATGAATCATGGGGATATTTGTAGCCTCTGGCTTTTTGAAGCGCGCTGTGAGTAATCCCAGTCGCTCTTGTCAGCACTGCTGCCCGTTTATTGTGTTTTGAATAAAGACCAAAGGGGCCTCCGACCGGGCCTGGTGGTCTCTAGACTGCCAGGAGGCAAACCTGGGCTACAAACATCTGAGCTGTCTGTTCCGGCCTGAAAGATCATGACTGGCGGCTTTGCTGCTTCCAGCTAGAGCCTGCCCGGGAGGCTGTGCCCGAGGGTGGGGACTGGGGTTCCTGGAGCGGCTTTTGCCGTGTGCCCGCACATCGGCCTCTCCCGCGGCCTGTACATGAGCCTTAGCGGAACCGTAACAAGCCCCGCAGAAGGGCCTCGCTAATCGAGCTCTGCCCGAAGTCCGAGGTCCCGTGCCACCCCCTCACGAGCCTGGGAAGCCCAGGGTCACTTCGAGACGCGGCTGCAGCAGCACCCACCGGGTCCACGGGCTCGGGTCCGCGACCGCCCCTTCCCCGGTGCGTCACGGTGGCGGAGGGAGGGAGGGAGGGAGGGAGGCGCCCTGGCGGCGGCGGCGGCGCGGGGCTCGCTCCTCCCCCGCGCCCTCAGCCATTTTAACAAGCCGGTACCAACACCGATAGCGCCGTGATCTCCGTCGGTAGCGCCGGGGCTGGGCACGGTGAGTGCGGGCTCTGCGCGGCAGGACAGACGGGATGGGATGGGACGGGACGGGACGGGATGGGATGGGATGGTCCCCCTTTGGTGCCCCTCGGAGCATCTGGGGAGTGACGAGGGCTGGGAGGATCGACCCATGCACGAAGAGGGGGCGCGGGGCTGGCGCTGCCCCCGGCTCGGAGGTCTGCGGAGCTCCCGCCGGAGCAGAGGTGGCTGGGTCAGCCGGGAAGGAGCGGGGGTTACGCGGGGTCAGGTCCGTTCCCGCGGCAGTGGTTCTGGGGGGCCGGGCCGAGAGGATGCGCCGAGGCTTGGCGCTCCGGTATGGACGGGCAGGAGCTGTTTCTTCCGCTGCCCGGAACAGGTAGGCGGCGCGGAAAGGTCTCCTAGAAGTGCTACGAGGGGGGTCGGGTAGGGCGGCCCGGCGTGCAGCCGGCAGGGAAGCAACCTTGCTCGCCCCAGCACCATCCCGGGGCCTTGGCTTCGCTCCGGGTCTTCTCCACAACACCGGGCTAGCGCCGTCGCTTCTCGCCGTTCCCGTCCCGCCCGCAGCCCGCGGGGTCGAGCGCGGTCGTTCCCGCTGCGAGCCGGACCCGCCGCCCGCCACTTCCCTGCTCCGCGCTGGGCGGGAGCTCGTCCCCGGCAGCTCCCTGGGCCTGCCCGGGCCTTGCCCAGTGGTTTGGCGGTATTCTGGCCTCCTCCTCCGGAGCCCCTCGGCCTTTGGAGCCCTCCGGCCCCCGCCTGGATGCAGGGGAGGAGGCTGGGCTCGGGAGATAGGCTGATGCTGATCAGGAGAGGTGATTCACTCCTCAGCGCATGCTTCTCAGCTCCGCGTCACAAAAGCACCTGTTGAAGGAAAGCAAGAAACTGGCTGAATGTTTTTGTTGTCGTCTTCCTCTGTGATAAATTTTGCTTTTTGCTGTTCTAGAACATTCTCATTTGTGGATTTCTGAAGCTTATTTGAAAGCAAGTGCATGTGCACTGCCTGGCTCCCCTGCCCTGGCTGCACAGACCTCTCCTGATCCAGTGCTGCTGTTTGCCGAGTCCCTTAATGAAATTATTGTAGCATATGCCTTTATAGCATATAATATTTGGGGAAAAAATGAAATGTGAAACGTTTATGTTGGGGAAAAAAAAAGGAGTGATAGTACAAAATATTTCAGTGAGGATGTTCAGTAAATACAGATGGAGGTTACAGAGAGCATTGGTGTCAAGGAATGTTTTATAGAAAGTAAATGGAGAGTTGAAGTCCCTGATGGTGGTAAAAGATGATTGTTCCAGTAAGGATAGTGTTGGTCCTTGCTTGCTTACTCTTTACATCTTAGATTGTTGCACAAAAATAAGTATATGACCTGTGTTGTTATTTACTATTATAGACAATCTTGCAATTGTAGCATTGCCAATTTCAAGTGCAAAAACGAGCAAATAAAGCTGCAGATAGACCTTAGAAACGTACAGTTTTTTTCTTTAAGTTCTGCTTTTTGAATGTTGGGAATTTTTCATCTCAGACTAACTGTAATGATTAAAGACATGGATTATGTTTTTCCCTAAGATATGATTAAGATTTTCATGTCTCCTGTCTTTTCACCCAATTAAAAGACAGCAAAGTTCCACAGTCTCTGACAAGATGACGGGTTTCATGTTTTATTTCTTTTGCTCTTTGTGCATGGATACAGTTTTTATTCTAATACAGTTCTACAGAAGCCTTAAATATTTTCTCATAAAAGTTATTTTGGAAACTATTTAATGCATTTTTAACATAGCTGTCATTTCTTTATAATTACCAGTTCCCCCTTCATTGTTGTCTTAAATTATAGAATTCTATAAACTTGAAACGCACAATTTCAGCAGAGTTCAGTAGATGACACCTTCTCCTAATGCAAGGGTGATGCTTCAGCCCTTTTATAAAACTAGAGAAACCACTTCCAAACAAACTATTAAGGCAAGGCTTTGCGTACAGAAATACGCCAGGTGATGTTACAATGGTGCAGCCTATTACACTGTTGTAAATGAAGTTAGTACTCAGATATCAAACAGTAACCTGAACCAAGTAAACATGCAAAATATACTGAAGTTAATGTTAGAGTGAGGTAGTTAACATGACAAATGAATGAGTGCTCTTTTATAAGAAAATCCTTCTGAGTAAGGCATTACTTAAACTAAAAAAGAGTTGGAATTAATCATTAAGGGAAATTTCGTTGTATACTCTAATAAGCATATGGTCACTGTGCTTCAGGACATTTATTTTCTCAGGAGAGAAGGAAGTTGAACGGAAGGAGGAAAGCAATTTCCTGGGAAACAGAATGTATAGTTCCATTGTGTTTGTTCACAGATTGGATTCTTATTTGGATGGTGCAAGTTCTTCAACCTTGTTTTGGAAGTCCTATCTCAAAAGCTGTCCACACTTTAATTTTACTACCTTCTGGAGCAGCTGCAGAGTGACTGCTTTGATGTTAATCTTTCTTCCAAAGTCTCTTCCTCTCCTCCCTGTAACTTGGGTTGCTACCCTTTGCGTTTCCATTTGGAATAGGCTAGCTGTATGGAAAGGAAGGCTTAAGAAAGGTGTTTTTTTTTTTCCTCTACTGGTAGAGTGATGTTTGCAGTGAATAGGGGTTATTAGTACTTTGCTGTTGTTTCATTGTTTTTTTTGGTCGGGAGTGGGGGAGGGAAATTAGGATTGCCTATAATCTGCCGACACTGTTTCTTCAAAATGTTGAACTCTGTAGGTAGGCACATGCAAACAAACGCTGAGTGCAGCACTGGTTATTCCTTCTGTGGCCACTCACTCAGGGTAACCTGTGTTGCACTGCAAGTAAGGCACACATTGACATGTGTGTGACAGGTTTCTCCTATGACCTGTAGTGCTTGTGGAGCCTGACAGCACCAATACTCAGACTTCTCTGCGGTCTGAGTGGTGCATGGGGAGGACCTTGCCTTAATCCTGGACATGCTGGAGCTGTGAGTTGGTTTTTCTTGTTTTATATGGACATGAGCTAGAAGACACTGTTTGGAAAAAGATTTGGCCAGTGGCCAGCATTGTCTAGGAGCTGTGGTTTCAGTTTCCTTCTCTGCAGAAAGTACCTAGTATGATCTGCATAGGAATCAATAAAAATGGTTGGGCAGAATGTAAATAAACTACAGTAGCTCTGCTTTCCCTACCCCACTTCTTATCAGGCCTATCAGTTCTTACCTAGCACTGCATATGAAGTGCATTCATAATCAAGATATAGCTTCGATTGTGTGCCAGGTGTTCATAACATTATTTACCTGACCAAGTGTGTGAGACCTAGGTTAGGAATGAGTGGTGGAGTTGGAAATTCCTCATGCTGTTGTTATTGCCCTAGATAGGGAGCCTGTCTCCTCTCCACATTGCTGTCTTGCTACAGCCCAGAGTAGCTTCTGAGTCAGGACTGACCCAGGGCTGGGATCAGCTTCTTTTTTACTGTGAGGATGATGATATGTTGGCACAGGTTATCCAGGAGGGCTGTGAATGTCCCAACCCTGGCAATGTCCAAAGCCAGGTTGGATAAGGCCTTGAGCCTGCACAGCTTCATTGCAAGGAGTGTGTGAGTGTGAGGCTTGATGGTACAGTTGTCTGGAGAGTTATTTA